TTTTTTAATGAGAGTGGGGTGAGAGACGGTGTCGACGACCTTCCTAAAATCCAGAAAGACTATGTCCACTGCTACCCCTGCATCCAAGGATTTTGTGACCTGGTCATAGAAGGCCACCAGGTTAGTCTGACAGGACCTGCCGCTAATGAACCCGTGTTGGTTGCCCCTAAGCATAATCTCCCTTGCTGGCCCCTCATGGACATGTGCCAGAATAATTTTCTCAAAAAGCTTACCCAGGATCAAGGTAAGACTAACTGGCCTATAGTTTCCTGGGTCCTCCTTCCTCCCTTTTCTGAAGATGGGAACCATGTTGGCCCTCTTCCAGTCCTCTGGCACCACACCAGAGCACCACGAGCGCTCGTAAAATCGTGCCAGGGGTCCCGCAATGACCTCAGCTAATTCCCTCAGCACTCTGGGGTAGAGATCGTCAGGACCAGCTGATTTAAATACATCCAATCCCTCCAGTAGTTCCCTGACTAGATCCTCACTGACCCGTGTCCTAGGTGTGCCTCCGCTGGGGCCTGATTATGCTACTACTAACCACTGTTGGCCGTCTCTCTACTTAGATTTTCACATTTTGGTCTGCTTCCCCCTCTCTGCCTCCTAGTGAACCTAGTGGTCATAGAAGGCCACCCCCTTTCTTTCTTCCAGTCTCGGATTAAGGCCTGGCACCATCTTAGCCAACTGTATAATGCAGTGGGTAAGGGGTTGAGCCTAGTGGGAGGTGGCTGTGAACATCTTCAGTTCTAGCACTAGGACCTAACACCCCTAGGTATAGAGATGCAAAGGAAATCTTTCAATCAGGAGGGAAAACAGTCCTGAGAGAGGAGGACATGCACTCACATGGAGCAAACAACTACAACAAAATATAAGCCTGTGCAAACATTGCACCTAATAACCCATGCTTGCTACTGTGCCATTGGGTTGGATGTCACTGCCAAGATACCCAGGGGCATTGCACAACAAGTAGTGGTTCATTTGGGCTGGTATATCCTTGAAAGTTCAGGTTAAACTTTGCTAGCCATGGCAATGTGTAACCAGTGGTTGCTTAGTATGTGCTTTTTCCCCTCTTAGTGGCTGCAGGCTTGATTGTGCTACAGAGTGGAGCTAACAATGCAGAGTCTTTTTGCACAGGCAGTAGAGGCTAATGTGTCTAGAACTGGAGGTCTTAGGTTTGACCCCCACTGTCAGTGACCCCCTACCTAGGGTGTTGCATTATATTAAAAGAAGTAATAAAAACAAGAAGTCTCGCTCTTTCTAGATTGTCACTTCCCAAAATGTGAACAGGCTCAAAGTCAGTCTGGCAATGGAGGATACTACCTGTCCACCGGGGCATCTGCAGTCTGCTAAAGAAACATGATGGGTGTAGCCATCCAGATATTTATTTGAGAGAGAAACATGCAAAGCAGTCACTGGAACAAAATAAAAATGTTCAAAGACTTGATGCCGTTGCTCAAAGGAACTGTGCCTGTGGCTATGGAAAAGGTGAAACAATCCACAGCTTACTGAACAGTGTCATTAAGGGACAAATACTGTGGTTATCCTTGCAAAATTTTTCTCCCAAATAGGATTTGGCCATTGATATCCATATAATTAATTCATTGAGGTATGAATTCTGTTAAGAGCATCACCAAGCAACTTTGTGTTTTGTTTGCAACTCTGAATCAAGTTTTCTATCTCTGTACTGAAAGTTTCAGCCTCTAGAGACATGACTGTGAGAGTATAGAAATTTTGCTTATTATGAAAATTAATAAATCATGAACTGGCTTATTTTTACTAAATATCTTTTTCTTTAATCACAGTATTTTTAAGACCACAGAGAAATTTGGAATCAATAGACCCTCAGTTTACAATTCGAAGGAAAATGGAACAGATGAGAGAAGAGAGAGAACTTGTAGAACAACTGCGGGAGGTATGTAACAGTGGTAGGCTGTGACTGCAGTGCCAAAGCATGTGTTTTCTGGCTACCTTTTGGAGATTCACATAGCTTTAGGATGAAAGCAGTTGCTGGATGTATTAGCAGGGGAATTTCAAGTAGGAGTAAAAGATAATGTTACTCCTGCATGCATCATTAGTTTGACACTTACAGGAATATTGGATCTGGCTCTGATAGCCAAACTTCAGAAAGGATAGTGACGAGCTTATAAGAATGATTCCGTGTGGATGACGTGCCTTTGTGAGAAATATTAAGCTCAATATTTTTAGTTAATTGAAAAGGAAGTTAAGAAGTGGCATGATGGAGGTGTAGGTTTGTGTTCTGTTTTGCGATTGAGACTAAGTGGTCTTTTGTGTCCTTAAAATCTGTAAACCTCTGCCCCATTTTCACTATCTGTAAAATGGAGATGAAAAATCTAAGGACAATGAGTGAGACTTATTCAGCAGAATTACCCAGTTGTGTGGTGCATCAAAGATTGCACCAGGGGAGCACTTGCTTGGGACTTCCAGCCTTGTATAGTCTCTGAATACCCACTGATGCCAGCCCAGGCGTAGCTTCCAGAGTGGGGTTAGCACTTAGCTCCTTATACCCCTGAGATGTGGCCCTATGGTCCCTGGTCCTCACTCAGGGAGTTACCTTCCAGCTCCTGGCATGGAAATTACGTCATCAAAGGGGAAATAACTGCACCCCAAAGTCCCCAAAAAGCAAAACAGACTGTTCCTTTTCAACAGTAATTTATTGAGCAACTGCAGTACAGAAAGCAGAGTCCTTGCCCCCTCTAAAGGGTTAAGCCAATAATCTGTCTCCAGTCCAGCCTACACAGCCTATGAGCACCGCAAATTTATTTTGACTTTACTTTCCCTTCTCTTGGGACTTCCAGCTTTTCACTTTGTTCCATCCATTTGCCCCATCCTTATCTGTGCCCTTGATGCCTCTTGTGTGTCACCTCCAATGGATATTTACCAACCCCATCTGAAGGCTACTCAATTGTTGTTGGAAGGGCATCGCTTCTCCATAAGGGAGGGCAGCTCTGGTTTCTTCAGTCTGTCTTAACTTCTTTCCACCTGTACTAGCTATTTAAGGAAACTGGATGTTGAACGTTTTTACAACATGAACACATTTAAACCAGCAATTTTACAACAAAGGCATGGTTTGTCACAGGGTGTTAAAATAGTTCTGTTATATCTATTAAGAAGTAAACAGTACATCCACCAAAGTAGTGGTAAGAGACCATTTTCACATTAGCATTGATTTAATAGTGCAAAATCACTGTTTTAACAGTATTATTCAGTGGTTGGCAACATATAGCCCATGGACCAGATCTGGCCAATGAAGAGCTGTGATCCAGGCCATGGTGGTGGAATGGGACAATCAGTAGCATGTGGCAACAGGAGTCAGCCACCAGTTAACATAGTGGATAATATAGAAGAGGAGTATAGGCATTTTTTTAAGCCATAGTATGAATGAGAAAATATCAGTAGTTTTGGCAAAGCAAGACTTGGGTGGTCACTTTAGGTTTTAATTGGGAAAAGGCACATGAGGACTGTAATGCAGCCTATGAATATTTGCTTTGGATTTTTTGTCCTTTCAATCTAATTTGGTATAAAAGTGGTGACTTGCTTGTTCTCCTTTACAGAATATTGAAACAAGACTAAAGATCTGTTTGCCTGAAGACTTGGGATCTGCTCTTATGGATGGGGTGGTTCTCTGTCATTTAGTCAATCACGTTCGTCCTCGATCTGTAGGAAGTATCCATGTACCTTCACCAGCAGTAGTAAGTCAGCAATTTTTAAAACATGAAGAAGTTGATGATTTATCAAACAATATTCAAATATCCATTAAAGTGCACTAACCATTATGTTATGAATAAGCTGCTCTGTAGCAAGTTGAAGTGTATGCATTAATTGTCTAAACATGTGATGTGTTTAACGTAATTCAGATTTTTTTCCATCCTTTTTTGAGCTGCAAGGAAATATCTTTTGACAAGACTTTTGTTCCAGACAATACTTCCCTTAAATTTAGCCCTCACACTTAGAATCATAGAAAAATTGTGTTGGAAAGGACCACAGGAGGTCATCTAGTCCAACCCCCCTCCTCAAAGCAGGACCATCCCCAACTAGATCATCCCAGCCAGGGCTTTATCAAGCAAGGCCTAAAAAACCTCCAAGGATGGAGATTCCACCGCTTCTCTAGGTAACCCATTTCAGTGCTTCATTGCCCTCCTAGTAAGACAATTTCTCCTAATATCCAGCTTAAACTTCCCTTGCTGCATTTGAAATCATTGTTCCTTGTTCTGTCATCTGCCACCACAGAGAACAGTCTAGCTCCATTGTCTTTTGAACCCCTCTTCAGGTAGTTGAAGGCTGCTATTAAATCCCCCTCAATCTTCTCTTCTCCAGACTAAATAAGTCCAGTTTCCTCAGCCTCTTCTTGTAAGTCATGTGTCCAAGCCCCTTCACCATTTTTATTGTCCTTCACTGGACTATCCAATTTGTCTGCATCCTTTCTGTAGTTGGGGGCCCAAAACTAAACACAGTACTCCAGATGTGGATTCACCAGTGCAGAGTAGAGGGCAAGAATTAATTACTTCCCTCAATCTGCTGGCAAGGCTCCTACTAATGCAGCCCATTATGCTGTTAGCCTTATTGGCAACCAAGGGCACGCTATTATTGACTCATATCCAGCTTATTGTCCACTGTAACCCCCAGGTCTTTTTTGTGGATGTGCTGCTTAGCCAGTTGGTCGCAATCCTGTAGCAGTACATGGGACTGTTCCATCCTAAATGCAGGACTTTGCACTTGTCCTTGTTGAACCTCATGAGATTTCTTTTAGCCCAATCCTTCAATTTCTCTATTTCACTTTGAATTTTAGCCCTACCCTCCAGTGTACTTCCACCAGCTTGATGTCATCCAAAAACTTGCAGAGGGTGTGCGCTATGCCATTTACCAGATTGTTACTGAAGATATTGAACAAAACTGGCCCTAGGACCAACTCCTGGGGCACTCCACTTGATTCTGGCCACCAGCTAGCCATAGAGCCATTGATTGCTACCTGTTGGGCCTGACGATCCAGTCAGTTTTGTATCCACCTTACAGTCCATTCATCCAACCCATACTTCCTTAACTTCCTTGCAAGAGACATTTGTTGGTGCTTCACTAATTTTTTCTGTCATAGCTTTCAGTATGATTGGTAACATACTGCATGTAATACATATGGCAAAGATATTGAATAGCAATGCTATTAACATTAACAATGTATTGATTTATCAGTCTCATCTAGCAACACATACACTTTCTGCTAAATGTGGCAATTCTTCCTTTTTTGTTGCAGATAGAATACAAGAGAAATATGCTCTTGTTCTGTAATTTTGGGGTCCTCAGAGGCAATGACCTACTCACAGGGATCTGATTACAACAGTGATGCTCAAACCTTTGGGCCTCATGGGCCAGATGATGTCCTGCATACCAGGATCAGGCCTGGGGCCCAGCCCTGCCCCCTCCTTACTGCACACTGGGATTGGGTTCTAGGGTCCTGGGGCCACCCCCACATGCTAGGATTGAGCCCCAGCACCACCCCTTCCTGCCTCCAAATGCTGGGAGTGGGCTTTGGGGGCCTCCCACTCCTGCTGTACATGCTGGGATTGGGCCCCAGCACTGGCTCTCTGTCCCCCATGGTACAGGATTCAGCCCCAGGAGCTTGGTACCACCCCCTCCCAACCTACCACACAAGGATTAGGCCCTGAGTGTTGCCCCTGCCCAGCCCTGCATACTGGGATCAGGCACCCATTCCAATGAACAGGGCCCATGGCTTCCAGTGGTTCTGGAAATTTGGCAGTGAGGGAGTGGTGCCGCTCTTCCCCTGATGCCAAATTTCTGGACCTGTGGGGAGCCCTGTGGGCTGGATAACTTGGGTCTGTAGGCTAGGAATTGAGTACCCATGGACTATAGCACAGATTGTCAACCAGGGGTACATGTACCCCTGAGGATACTTGAGAAAGCCCTAGGGGGTACGTGTAGGCGGGTGGGGTTGGAGCTCTGTCTTGCAGCATCCTGCACAGGTACCACCCAGCCAGCCGGACGCAGGGGGTGGGGGAAGGTCATGTGCAGCAGCTGCTGTCACTCCATGTTCACCCCCCACCCCCACTTGGTGTCTGACCGCATGTACCCCCCCCACCCCACTCAGTGTCCAACTGCTGGGGGTACACTGACCCAAAAAGGTTGAAAACCCTTGGATTATAGGATTAAAGACATCAAAGAATTCTTATACTATTTCTAAGAGCAACATTTTTTTCCAATGTAGTTTCTTGATTTTTTTTTTCTTTGTGGTTTGTTTGTTTTATTGTGTTGTTTTTTACAGAAGACTTTGGCTCCCATTGTCAAAACACTTCTGTTTCCGTTTTCTACTGTAACGTTTTATTCTAAAGAAGTTTTCTACATTTTATAAATACAGTATATGTTTTCAGGAAAAAAATAAAATGTGGCATTGGCAGTAGACGGGTTATGTCATAAACAGAGTTTTCTATTGACTACCATATATCACTGGATTCTTTCATATTAATCTAGGGATTTGTTGTTTTTTTCTATTTACAGCCTAAACTCAGCATGGCAAAATGCAGGAGAAATGTAGAAAACTTTCTGGATGCATGTAGGAAACTGGGAATACCAGAGGTAATTTTTAATTAAGTCCATTCCTAGATGAAATGCACTAAAAAGCATATATCAGCTATTACTTTATAGCTGAAGGATATTTACTTTTTATAGATGCTAAAATTATTCACAAAGATTATAAAATATTACAGAATTACTTTTACACCCTGTTTTGCAGTGCTTTTGCTTGTACTTAAAATTTAAAGCATACAAGTAGTTCCATAGAAGGGTTCATGTAAGATATTTGTAAGCCTATAGACGTACTTATAGGCATCAGTGTTTAAATTAAGCATGTACTCAAGAACACTGCAGGATTAGGATCAAATTCCTCTCATGACTGGAGAGCTCATTAGCAGATTGCTGAATTTCATGAATTGGTGAACTCTTAGCAATAAAAGCAAGTGGTATCACAAAACTATTAGTAGTAGTAGTACGTCTTGTGTTGTACTTAGCTCGAGTAGTCCTCAAAGCACTTAAAAACATGCCATTCTGTCTTTCAGTAAGGAGATATGGGTGTTTTAGTATTGCAGTATTCCCAATACTTCATTGTATGTATAGGGAACAACTGGACAATACAACAAATAGGTAATGTTAAGAAAAATTGGCAAGGTTTTTACAGTGAAAACTGTTATAATTGGTTCCTTTAGGTTTTAAGCCTCATTTATTTTTATACATTAATACTTTGTATTATATTATTAGATACTTTTACATTTTGTAAAACTAACTGGTAGTAACAAGCCCTCATCCCAGCAGTCAATTTTTACTGTGATTTAAGGAGAGGAAGTCATTCTCTCTGTGAATTAATGGGATGTGCACAATTGAGATTCTATTGTGATGGTAAAATAAAGCCATAGTGTTTTTTAAACCCGTGAAAGATAAAATGTGATGAATATTATCATCATAATTACACTCTGATAATTCTGTATTATCCAATTTAATTACTGTCAATTTACATTAGTGCAATTTAGATCAGTATCTTTCCCAGATTCTGAAAACATTTTTACAAAAGTATAGGAAAATTTATGTCAAACAGTTCATCTTCAGCATGAGGTATCATAGACAAGACTTCAGTGCAGTAAAATATAAAACTACAAATGTGAAAACTGCATATTAGTATTTTCATCATGCTGTTGATGACATCTCACAGTATAATTAAGGGTCGCTTTATTTTTAAGTTCTGCTTTTATTAAATATAAAATCAAGACTTTGGTTTTAAACTCAGGAATGAGCCTAATGCAAATATTTCAAATCTTTCCTTTTACTAAATATGAAAAAAACCCATTTTTCTACTCTTTATTTGAAGGACTGCAAAACCAATGATATGTTGTCTCTTTCAGTTTGGAAGAGGTTGTGGGGAGGGGCATTTTTAACTACAGTGAATTGCTGTTAACATCATGAATTGCAACATTTTTTATCCCATTGTATTGTTTCTCTGTTCTTAAATGATTAACATTGGGCAGCTATCACTGTTTGTTAATGTTTACTGTATGATAAATTGCTCACAAAATGTTAATGCAGGATATTAGAAAGGTTCCATGTTGTAAATTACCATTTTCAAGTTCAAAACATGTCTTCCTCAAGTAAGGATCTATATGGATAGAGTCTAAACCTAGTGTGCATGGAACATGTACCAAAGTTTGTTGATCTTCACACCTCAAAGTATACTCAACACTAGTATACAGGTCTCAGGTGCTTGGAAGCAGCCTTTTGGGGAGAGGGAGAGGTAGTGACCACTTTTTTTACCTTCCCCACTAATTTATCCTTTATTTATTTTTTCAAAAGGGGGTGGGGTGAAATTAAATGCCACAGGAAAATTTCTGAGGAAAATTATGTTAATATGAGCACCACAGTAGTACCCTGCAGTACCACATTACTATATGATGGCATAGGATGAGATGATCTCTTCATTTTGAATTTCCTTGCTTAAATTGCTGTAAACTTATTTGGTAATAACTATTTCTGTTTCAGTATTTTGAGAACCGGGTGGTGGGAGGTTGAATTTACTTCTTTTCCTTTCTTCAGCTGTCAGTGAAATGTGTAACTTTCTCTTCTAATATCGTAAACTTTTCATGCATTTTTAAACTATTTGATTAACTGCTTATTTATTTCAAGTCTGCATTGAGGTTTAAACAAAGGGTCCAAGATTAAACTTAAATAAAAGAATGTTATCTGCCACTGAGGAAAAAGTTCATTTACATAGGTACCAAGGGAATTATTTAAGGTTTCTACTTTGAGAAATTTTTTTGGAAATCTCTGTCCTTTGAGAATTCACATTTACTAGATGTGTGCCAATTGGCAAACTGAGATGCTTTGTGAAAATGCATTGTTTCAGAGTTTAGATGAGAGGAAGTGTTTGGAATGTGCTGTGCTTGAGAGAGAGAACCATGTATGCTGGAAACTCGGTGTTTAGTGAGAGCTAGGTATGTATGTGTGTGTGGGAAGCAAGCAGAAGGCACGTAGTCAGGTAAACAAAAAATGTCTAGAAGCAGTAGGTTGCAGAAATATCAATAAAAAATTATCTGCCTCTTGATCATTCTTACCTCGGCTGACTGCCTCAGGAGAATCCGGTTTGAGGAATGGAATAAACTGGAGAGAAGTTCTGCAGTGAAACTGCCCTTTGTTATGGGTGTGCGATGCATTCCAATTTTAGATTGTACTTCCTGCCGTTATTTCTTGTTACACTTATCTCCACATCCTGAGGAATATTTGTTGATCCAATTCATATCCTTGCAAAGTCTGAATAGTTTTTTTATATTTTTTTTATCACTCTATGGTCTCAGCTAACTACAGTTGTAACAGGGATAGAGGAGTATACAGGTTCTTCAAAAAATCCATAGAATCAGGACAGTATCCTGTCATATGTAGCTATATACAGATCATGGCATTTGAAAATAAGAAAACACATGTATAAGGGAAGCCTATCTTAAATCTATCTGCTAAAATGACTGATCTTGTGCTTCAAGTACTTCTACCACTAAACATTCATTTTTAGGAGGCAATGGACCAGCACGGTCCAGGAAGAGCTCCTGTTTTAAGTATAGAAGGTGCAGTAATCAATGGTTGTATTATGTTTTGAATGCCATTGGGTTCTTGAAGTGCCTGTCACTAATCCTTCAGAGAGAAACTAAACAGCAAGGTTCTTTCTGGGTCTGGTAGGCTCTCAGAAACGTCATTACAACAGGGAAAGAGATTTGTGTACAATTTTTTGTCTCTGACGTTTGGAATGAAACATGCTGTTCACAAGAGGTCAGACCTCTGTCAGGCCAGCTGAGGTTAGTTTTACAAGACACAATCTGTATTTTTTTGCAGTCAGAGAAGTGGTGGATAAACACCTGAAGGATTGTAGAAGGAAGGAGTCTATTCACAGTACTTGTTAGTAAGTAGGTAATGCCATGTAGGCTTTCACTTACATGAAAACTGCTAGATGATGATTCATTTTGTACTGTCAGTTGAACAGTGCCAGTTCTCAGCATCTCCTGTTTATAAACATTTTCCATATTGAACCTTATGGCCGCATCCAGACGAGTGGTATGGTATGCCACACGTGGCACATGCAGGCGTTCCTTGGACTGCTACTTTGCAGCTTTGGGGGGGGGTGAGGAACCCTGGGAGATCCCAGGGTCAAAAAACCCACACCAGAAGAAAGCGGGCTGGTGCACATGGCAGCAGCACATGCAACTCAAAACCAGAGCCTTCCTAGCTGGAGTCGTGCTCTGGCTGCTGGCCAGGCTTCCTGCCACAGCTGCAGGCCTAAGAGGCCCCCACAACCCCAGGGAAGGCTGTTGGGGCCAGCACAGTTGCTGGTCCCAGCCTCTCCTATTCCACCCGGGTTAACCTGTGGTGCGCCAAAGCGCATGTGGCATGGGAGTTCCCCACTTTGTGCTGCTGCTGCTTTTCCCCAGGGAAACAAATGTCCGCGCTTGTCTGGATGCACCCTATATAAGCGTTGCAGTAGGTGGCAGTTGGCTTCTGAGTGAGTAACAGTAAGATGGTTGCATGGGGGAGTTTGTTCTTTTGAGCAGTTTTATCTGAGATACTTGGACTGTGTTTTGAATCGCCAGGCAGACCAGTTACCCACCCCCTCTTACCTAATAGTGCCTGAGCTTTTTTTTTCCTCCCCATGTCTTCAACTCTAGTGAAGCTCCTAACAGCTTTGTATCGTCAACAGAACCAGTCCCTGTAGTGACAAAGTGCCAAGTGCCCATGGTAAATGCAGGATACAGGTTGGTGAGAGTATCAGTTCTAATGCATTTTGACTCTTCCGACTGGCATTGCAGAGGTAAAACTGGGAACCAGATTGTTAATTTCATATGGGTTTGAGACTTGGTTGTCTTGACCTCTGTTACACTTTCCTAGGACCATCTGCAATATTTTTCTCCAGTCAGTAATAGTACTTGTTCTGTGGGTTGCCCAACTTTATTAGCAACTTTTTAAATTAAAAAACATAATTGGCTCACTATTAATTCATATTTCTGGAAATATGATGTTGTCACTTGCATTTACTACTTTACAGCATAGCAGTATCACATCACATTTAAACCTTCAACTCAGCCTGCTAGTGCGCTATCTAGGCTCCCCTTTTGGCAGCTCTTGCACTTAGTAATTCATACCACAGGGAGGCCTTTCTAATGTTATTCCAGTCATGTTAGCAGATGCCTCTGCAGGAAAAATAGATTGCTGTAGTGGTCAGCTGAATGTTTACTTGTAAGAAGGAAGTCAAAATCATTAAGTTTAGGCTTCTTTTTGCACAGAACGGAGCTTTCAGTTTAGGAACAGGGCTGCTTCCAGTTTAGTGATGGTGCTGAGGAAATATATGCTCCCTGAATTTGGTGACTGGTGTTCAGAAACATATACTGTAGAATAAAGGTGTAAACACGTAGGGTGATTTGGAGGAAGACCTTTTCACAAGAGGTTAGGGCCCAGATTTCAGTTTTTCACAGCTTCCAGTTTGTGGTGACTGTATATATAGACAAAAAGATCATCCAGATAGTTTTCTAGCAAAAAGCAAGGTATACGGTGTT